GCCCTGGTTTTCAGGCTGTCAGGCTGAAACAGACACGGGGCCTGTAAGCCCTTGTTTTTAGGCTTTTAGGCTGAGACCGCGGGACGGGCCCTGCAGGCCCGTGTGGCTGCGCAGTATGCCACAGGTGAGGCCCTCAGATGTGTCCATTGTCCAAAAAAAGGGTAAAAAAAAGAAGCAGTCCACTGTCTCTGTCCAGCAATCAAAGGTGGATGCCAATTAGTTTCTGAGAATATATGGTCTGGGGGCACAAAGGCGGTGCAAGATCTCATTGTATCATTTGGGCGAAGGAGAGTAGCAAGCCTAGGTTAGCAGGATCGAGGAGGTGGTTGGAGGAGGGCGTGTGGTCAGTTCTCACCACGTTCGGGTAGCAAAGCCTACACTTGAGGTAATAAGAAACTCAAAAAATGCAGTCCATGAGTTTGAAATCCCACTATAGTAACCCCAATTAAAAGAGAGAATGAAACCATAAGGCCCTGTTTTCGCTTAAGGAAAAAAAAAAAAAAAAAAAAAAAAAAAAAAAAAAAAAAAAACTTCAAAAAAGAGATACTGAAAGACCAAAGGAGACCACAAACTGACTTCTCACTAGCGCAGCTAGAGCGTCGCTGTTACGATACGCGGGCGGCGAGGGATTGCACGGAGGCAGCTGCGGATAAGCTGCGCTTAGTCAGAACTTGCTGTTGCGTATGGCGGAGGCGGAGAGGCGACAGAGCGTGTGGGCGCTGAGGTGGAGGTCGCTTCGAGGGGGCACAACCATGCACCTGCCATAGCCTAATCTTGGACGACGAGAGTTGGTAACCCTAGATTGGCCGCAGAAGGAAGGGCAGAGATGTGGGGTTGGTCAACTGGCAGGATCTGCCCATCGTGCATACCAGTATTACCACCTGATCAGGAGCTTTGCCCACTGATTATAGATACGGTGCACGATTGCGTTGCTGGAGTGGAGGCTCTTTTATCTGGATGAAGAGCTGGAGACGAAGGATGAGAGTGCATCGATAACCGTCAATTTCCAGGAGACAGATGACGGACTTCATGCTGCAATCCGTATCGTCCACTGTCGCTGACAGCGGACTTCAAACTGTGAGTAGGGTTGTCCACGGTTGCCTTTGCTCCTACTTTGGGCGTGGTGTTGCTCAGGATTTTCCACTTTCTGGTGCTTTGACAGACCATCGACTGTGCTCCCCTGAATTGCAACCGTTATGCTGTTTGTTGTGAGTATAGATTAGCAGTTATTAGGGTTGGTGGTTTAAGAGCAGTTGTTACGATCATGTTTTTGGATAGGGTCGGGATTCTTGTAGAGTTTCCTTTCGTTAAATTCGCCAGTGGGTGAAATTGATCACTGTCATTTGTGGCGAGAACTTGGCATTTGGTGGATTGTCGATTGGTTGACCTCACCCGAGGGTGATCAGTGCGACATCACCGCTCATTAGGGTTGGTGTTTATTACGTTGCCCCTTGTTGGAGTCGGCATTTATCACTCTCCTGTATCTGGTGGCTTGCCTTTTAGTTGGAGATATTAATTAGAAGTACCTGTAATGGTCCTGTATACAGTTGGAATTTCATAAATAACTAGTTAATAGCGTCTGTAGGTGTGGCTTGCCTTTTAGTTGGAGATATTAATTAGAAGTACCTGTATACAGTTTGAATTTCGTAAATAAATTAAAATAATTAGTTAATAGCGTCTGCTGGTGAGCAGGATGAGAATATTGGTTATCTTGGTTTTGGGATTTTGTTAGTCTTTGTTACTTCCCTTGGATTTTGCTATATTAGGGTTGTGGAATGCTGGCGGTCTGGTGACTGACTATATTAGGACTTGGGGCGGTGCTGGAGGTGGACTTTTTTCGGATTATGGGGTCACGAATTTTGTTTTGGGCCGGTGCTGGAGGTGGACTGTTGCAATTTACTCTTGGGTTGCGGTAGGGATAGGTTTCGCTGGGAGTGCCTTGCTTAGCCTGTTTGGCTGCAACAAATGATGTGAGGGACACCGTGCCAGTTTCCCGGCTATACGAGTATATGAGAAGGAAAAAAAAAAAAAAAAAAAGACTTGTCACCTAGGCTACCAGAGTGGCCCGTGGTTTGCCCGGCCGGGCCAAAAAACATTAAAATAAAATACAATAAAATAGTTTTTTATTTTATTTTTTATTTTAAATGTGGTAAAGAATTTCGATGTGACCCTGAGGCAAAAGTTGTTCAGTTTACTTTTCTGCATAACCTAGTTTTTTTCTGCACGGGCTGGCCCCCCGGGACCCGGGCGGCCCGGCTGGTAGCCTAGCTTGTTAATGTAAAACTAGAATCATGGCAATTAGATTACAATTTAAAAAAAAAAAAAAACAGTTACACAGATGAAAGGGAAAAAAAGGGCTTGAGGGAGGAAGGTGCTGGACAAGAAAGCAAGCATGCCAATAAAATTCATGCACTTGAGATATAGAATTACTTCATTAATATTCTTGCCGCCTCACAGCATTCATCAACTCGGCGATTGTATCCGGGCGTGCTAGTCAAAGCCTTCTTCAGTCCCGAAAAGGCAAGAAGAATTTGGAACCGGTCGCCGGGCCCTGTAACTGCAGCAATTCCATCTTCCTGCTCATCTGGATTGCAACCTCCGCCTGCGGACTTGACCAACATATGTGTTCGCTCCTGCACTCAGTTCAGCAAAGTCCGGGACGTTATCAACATCTGTTCGGAGAGCTTCAGAGTCTTTGGACCGGCACTCAGTTCACAGAATGCTTATACCCCTTTATTGTTCTTAGTTTTCCTTTTTTTATTAAGGAAGAAAATTATATATTATAGTATTATTATTATAAAAGCTGGAAACCGGGTCCAGGATCCTATACATCATTGACTCAGGCAACACTTCCTTCGATTTTGGTTGAAGGACCCTAAGGACCGCGACATTGATTTCTCCCTGTTTGATGGCCGCATCGATTTCTCCTTGTTTGAATGAGGAAGTGCCTATGCTCTCCACCCCTATAAACTGGTCCCCTCGCATCCTTCAAGGACCCTCATCGCTAACCCATACTCGTCACCCGCTCCTCCTGCACCCCATCCCATTCACAAAAGTGTGGGACGTTGTCAAAATACAAAAGACTGCTGCTCCAGTTGTTCAATTCTTTGTTTCTTTTTGCTGCTTCTTCTACTCCTTTCTTTTTTTTGGGAAAATTTTTGAAATACCCCTCCAACTTCCATTTTTTTATTAAATTTGCAGTATGACCCTCCGATGGCAGACTTACCCTGTCATGCCCCTGGAGCCTCTGAAGTTTCCTGCAGGCCCCTGTCAGTGAGGGGTGCAACTTTCCAGCATGCCCCTGTGGCCGTTGGTGGCACTCGCGGCCCGCTCAACCTGGCCCTGGGAGGGGAGCACAATGGGATCTTCAAGCTAGCATACAAACAGAACACAAACAAACAAACAAACAACAAAAAAAAAAAAAAAAAAAAAAGGAGCACAATGGAACACATCATCCCTGTGCCCTAACTTCTCTGCCCAACAATCTAAGCTGTAAGCATACAAAGTATTACAAACAGAGCACATCATCTCTGCTCTTCCTTCCCTTCTAAGCTGCCCACATAAAGGCACAACCACACACTTGAAACAAAAACATCCCTCTAACATCTCTGGAGATACGCAGAGAGGTTACCTGCAGGTGATCTTTTGTGTTTGGAAAATCATGAAAGTTCATCGAAAACAGCCTCCACCTTCTTTGTTTTCCTCTCCTTTTTAGTGATGTACTGTGGAGAGCAGGAAGGCTTCACAGTTCCAAACGTTATCCACCGTTGGATCTGCTCCTGCCTGCCCCAAACACTTGGCTGCTGTCGTTTGACTCCTGGCATGCATCATCAGGGATAGGGATCACTGACGTCAGCTCCTCACGTTATTGGGGATTCACAGTTAAGCTGTCAAGACTCTCGTGTCTGACTATGCTTACAGCTTAGAAGGAAGGGCAGAGAAGATGACAACAGAGGGAGGAAGGAGAGAGAACAAGGCAAGCCACCTTCCTCCAGCTGAGCTCTGCTGGGTGAGGACATGAACTACCTTCCTCTTGCACCGTGTCAGCGACTACTCTCCCTCGGCGGCAAAGACAGTAGACAGGTGCAAACACAATGCCTACCCAACAACCACAAGCACACCGAACCCACACCCACAGAAACTAATGCTTCACAGCATGACTTTCCCGAAAGATGAATTGCCTCAATGCCAATCACCACAGCACCACCTGCTTGAACAGAATGAAGACCGCACAATCGATTACAGTTAAAACAATAGTGCACGCGGCCACACAATGGTTTTTGGCCAATTGTCTGGTGCAGTTTATTGGCCACATTTGCATGTATCTCTTACCTTACAATCAATTACAGTTAAACAATTCTGCCGTGAGAGGAGGATAGCAGATTGATCGAGTATTCCATTTCGCAATCCCAAGTACCCATTTTCGATCAGCCTGCACACAACAGACGGAAGCACCGTGATACCATGACAGGGTAAGACATCACACAATGGAAACGGCGAACGATTGACATGTGTGTTAAACCACCAGTAGTAGTTCAGACGAGAGCGGCGCGTTAGTGGCCAGCCATTGCAACAGTGCCACGACTGTTTGTTTCAAAATTCAAATGAATATAGCCCAGCACGGCGGGCCCATTCATCCCAGTGCCTCCTGGCGCGTTAACCTGAAGTACTGCTGGTTTAAGTGAAGCACATGCATCTGGTACTGATGGCTCAAGTAGACAGGGAAAACTGTGAGCCAGACATACACACGCACACAGGGCTACCCGCCCGAACGTTCGGGGCGGTTGGTTCTCCCCCCCCCCCCCAACGTTCGGGTGTCCAGCCGAACCTGAGGGGGCTGAACTTCCCCAAGTTTGGCCTCCGCCGAAAATCATTTCGGGCCCTTTAGAAATTTAGTTTTTTTTTTTTTAATGTTTTTGGCGAGAGAGAAGGGGCAATTGGAGAAGAAGTTCCCGGAGTAGGATGGGGAGAAGCTTCACTTCGTAATGTTTGATTATTAATGGAGTGATTATCCTTTTCTCCTGCACCGTCTTCTTCCTTCCTCCTTCATCAGCATGTCTTCTCAGTTTCTTTTGTGGAATTCATGCATGCAGAGTGTTGAGAGGTGAGCAGTTGAGAACCAGGTTCAATGCATCTCTCTCAGACTCTCCCAAACCCATACATCATCCCTCAGGAGCTAGTTAATTTCTGAAATATGGATACTCTCTCTCTCTCTCTCTCTCTCTCTCTCTCTCTCTCTCTCTCTCTCTCTCTCTCTCTCTCTCTCTCTCTCTCTCTCTCTCTCTCTCTCTCTCTCTCTCACACACACACACACACACACACACACACACACACACACACACACACATACACACACACACACACCCACCCACCCACACACACACACACAACACACACACACACACACACATGCACAACACACACACACACACGCACGCACAACACACACACACACACACACACACACAGATGAGAGTACAAAGAAACAGTCTGGCACAGTCATGCTCTTTTTGTGGAGTTGTGTATAGCGAACATGACAACACACGCATTCGTGCGAGACTTGCCATCACACCCTTTTTTTCCTTTTCTTTTTTACCACACAAGGCCCCATCTATTCTGGGGGGCATCAGTCCGGTTGCTTATCACCGGCAAGCATGAGTTCAAGGTGAGATGGTAGCAGGGATAGAAATCAGCCAAGGCCTTGCGGTACTAGTCACCAGTCAAAGGGGGACTGCTACTGGCCATCCCACTTCCCAAACCATAGCCTCCCCTGGGATGCTTCTGCTGACCGGGAAGCTTACTAGCAGCACCCAGACACGCAGCAGAAGGTCCCAGGAGTGGCGGAGCGCGGGGGGAAAGAGCCTAGCAGCCTCGCTGGCCGCTTGTCTCCTCCTCTAAACCAAATCCTCTCGGAAAAAGCCAAACAGACTTGTTCCGATAACACCGGTCTCTATCTATAGTCATGCTCTCTCTATAAAGTTCTCTTCTCCTTACCAGTTTTACTTGTTCTCCCATATTTCTTGATACCATCCTAGTCAGATTACCTAACTTACATTTCCTTTGCTTATATCGTACTTGCCACCTACTGCCATCCCTCGTCCCTTGCCCATCTACCATCCTCTCATACAGTATCCTGTCTCTATTTTCAAGTTGCCCCAAGTTTTCCAATTTTCACACCTTGTCCGAAATTTTGTCCCCACCTTTTCTGTGAAACTCACGTCCCTATCGCCCAACCCCTATCTTCTTCAACTTTCCCTTATCTTGCCCCTTCTATCCCCTGGAATCCTCCTATCGTAAGTATGGCACATCTACAATCCCACCCCTCCCGGCTGCAAGTTTATTATGAGTCGCAGCAGGAGCGGATTGCAGCCCTGGTGCTGCTTGGTGGTGCGTGTGCTGAATCGTGCCGACTTGGCATAGGCTGGGACGCGTGCGACAGGCTTTTTGTTTTTGGGACCGCGCTCGAACCAGCAGAACTAGGTGGGGCACGAGGAGGCCGCGCCGTGACCATTAGGAGCACTCGGCACATGCGGTTTTGGCATCAGGGAAACTTCATTATTTTTTTTTTTTGGAGCAGATGGTGCGACCAATTTCAGCAGTTGGGACCCATCTGATGCTGCAGGCGGTAGTGCAGGCCCATTGGGACTGTCTGGCTGTAGTTGGGATCGGCACGGGACGTGTGCGGCCACGACAACAGGTCACGACGCTTGCAGTTTTGGCTTCTGACATAGTTATTATTCTTTTTGAAATGTGCGGCGCAAGTGGTTTTTGACGTAGTTATTATTCGGCGAGGTGGTTGGTAACATGGGACCATCCGGGACCATCTGGTACTAGTTGGGACTGACGTGGGACCGGCGGTTTTTCTTTGGGACGTGTGCGGCTCACCATCTTCACACTTGGGTTTATCGAGTGTGGGCCGTGCGAGCGGAAGGTGGATTGAGGTCATTGGTTGGCTCGGGACTTACCTCTGGGACTGCGGTTTTCTTTGGCGACGCGTGTATTTTTCTTGGCTCTCTTGAGTGGGCAACGACGCATTCGGCACCACTTCACTCAAGGTCAACTGATTGACTCAGATTTTTTTCACACATGTGTGAACCCACACTTTGCTTGACCCTGTTTGTTTTGAACGTTCAAAAGAAAAGGTAGAGGAAAGGATGTGTGAGTCATGCATCCAAAAGGTGAGGTCTGACTTGAGTATGGGATTGCATTGGTTTCTTTTGAATTTAATTATTTTGCGTGTTGTGTAGGTAGGTAGAAGGGCGCCTGCAAGGGAGATTGATTGTGCCTATTTAAAGCTGGTGAACAAAATTGCCTTCTTTTTACCTATCACCTACCTGCTTGTCAAAAAAGAATTGTGTTTTTTATGTGAGAACCGTAAGAGGTATTTGTTTCAGAAAAAGAAGACAAAACTGAATGGCTTTAGCCTTTATCCCGAGGTTGCCCTTTCTATCCTGAATGACCTTATCTGTCTACACTTGTCCAAATATTTCTTGTTCCCTATCTCCTCTATCTCTTTTAGTCTAAGTTACATTGAGCTCAGGAAAAATGAGAACAACTAAAATCTACTCACGGTAGACACGCCCTTTCTCCAAGAAGCAGTTGGGGCGGGGGTTTGTTGCTTTAGGAGCCGGCCTTGTTATCGACCCAGAGTGCACCGTTCTATAGGGCATACGATTTGGTGGAGACGGTCTGACTTCTGAGATCCGAGCTTTGTGCTTGGGCGAGGAGGAGTACCCCAGACCACTTTCTAGAGGGTGGGACACACTTCAAGTAATGCACCTGATCAAGAATCATCCGCAAAGCAGTCTATCATCAGGGTTGTCACGCGGGTAGCCCCGCGGTCCAAGTCGGGGTAGGGCTTTCACCCTCGGACCCCTGGCCTCGCCAAAATACCCCCACCCCTACCCCAACCCTGCCACCCCC